GAGAGGCAGGGCAGGTGTGTAGAGGGAGGTGTTAGAAGAGGGGTAGCTCACATGATCAGAGTGGAGGAGTGGGCACAGGGGGGAGAGTCGGGCTGATGGAGGGAGGCAGGTTGCAGGAGGGCTGAGGGCAGAGAGAAGGGCAGGAGTCAGGACAGCAGAGGAGGTTGAGGGGTTGGGGGGTGGGCAGCAGGCACCAAGGGAGCTAATGGAACAAGGGGAGCAGAGAGAAAAGGCAAAGGTTTAAAAATATTTATTAATAACTTGGGTGCCACAGTGGCATATCCAAACAAGCGACATGAACTCAGTGCTGATGCACAACACAAAATTCATTCTGCTCATGGGAGGAAACTCTTAGGCTATGTCTACACTGGAGGTTTGTTGCACAATAGTTTGTGTGCAAGAAGTCTTGAGCAAGAACACGTCCACACTGCCATGCGCGAGCTGTGCTTTTGTGCAAGAGCATCCATGACTGTGTGGACTCTCTCTTGCCCAAGAAAGCTCCAATGGCCATTTTAGCCATAGGGGTTTCTTGCACAAGAAATCCCTGCCAAGCGTGCACACTGCCCTCATGTGCAAGAGAGCTTTCACCTGTTAGAAAAGAGCATAGCTCTTGTGCAAGACGCCCTCTCTTATCAATCCGTACTGTAAATTTCCTTGCGCAAGAGCTATGCTCTTTTCTAACAGGTGAAAGCTCTCTTGCACATGAGGGCAGTGTGCACGCTTGGCAGGGATTTCTTGTGCAAGAAACCCCTATGGCTAAAATGGCCATTGGAGCTTTCTTGGGCAAGAGAGAGTCTAAAGGTTTATTATCACAAGAAAGAAAAGCATGAGAGTGAGGTTGCTAAAGTATCATACTTTACATGCATCGAATCTCCCAGTTCTCGATGCAGGCTCCAGCAGAGATGTTATAGCTTCTGGCTTAAAAGTCCTTGTTGCGCATCCTAGATCAGAACATAAGAACATAAGAACGGCCGTACTGGGTCAGACCAAAGGTCCATCTAGCCCAGTATCCTGTCTACCGACAGTGGCAAGCACCAGGTGCCCCAGAGAGGGTGGACTGAAGACAATGAT